CCCCCCGGGGGTCGCTACCCTTTCGCTTGGAGGCCGTCCTGGAGGGGCGTCTGACGTTTTGGGCGAGCTCCAGCTGGCTTTGGGGACGTCCTCCCCGCGTTGCGGCCTTCCTCGGGCTCCCAGCTTTGTGGCATCGCTAAATAAATAGGCAGCGACAAACAAGGAATGCTTGCTGCGAGCGTGGCTTCAGTTTGAAAAGAGAACTTTTCCTTCCCTTCCCAGCTTTTTTAAAAAAGGGGCCAAAAATAGCAGCCACACTTGCTGCTGGTATTTTAATGGAGGTTTGGAGGAATCCGAGTCAGCCGGGCTAACACTGCCTAGGCTTGACATTACCGAGGAATTTGTTTGTTTTGTAAACCAAGTTCCCTTCATTCCCTTCCCCTTCCAGACCCCGGCGTGTAACATAAACCTACACAAATCTGAAAGGACGGACAGGGCTGAGAACATCTGGCAGGCCCGGCGCTGCGGCGGGCAACCTTGAGGAGCCGCGCGGCTTCCCGAAACGCTCTCGCTTTAAGCGCTGACGTTTACTTGTCCTGGATAATCTCAGATGTCCAACCTGCCACCCCTTTCCTGCCTGGAATGCTGGCAAGCCCTAACAGTGCTTTTTTTTGGTCTCAAACTATTCAAACTACTGATATTATATATATATATTTTTTTTTTTTTTTTTAAGTTCTTTCTCACACCCGGCGAAGTAAATAGGCTGGAGCAGGATTTCTAGAAGTGCGTTGCTGTGTTAGAGCTGCCTGATCGAACTCAGTAAACTGAGTTTATTCTCAGCATAAATTTTCAAGTGCGGTAGTCGAGTCGTGCGCCTCTCAAAGCCGCTCAAAATCACGGCTAAAACCTCCGGTACCGAGGCAGGAGAATGTCCTCTTGTGTGCACACCAGTTCAGGCCATGGAAAGTTCCTTGTACAACTGGGATTCATTTCAAATTACTCCATTTGTGTCAAAGTGTGGCTATATATTATATATTTTTTTCTTCCTACGTGCGTTGCCACCACTTAATTTATGGGAGATGGTAGTCGAACTGTGCCTGCAGACGTTGCGTTTCAGGTTTTCTCTCTTTGCTACCAAAACCTGCTGTTCTGCCCTGAAAAAAAACCCCACAAACCAGCAGCTTGGCGTTGGGCTCGGGTCTTCACGGGCGTCTCTCGAGCCGGCTTTTGGCAGCAGGGCTTGTTTGGAAACGACTCTCCTGAAATGATTTAGCGCCCTGTCTGCGCAGAGCCGACGTACGTCGCCCTCAAGATGTAACCGGCCTCCTCCCTCCGCAGTGCCTTCGGCCACCGGCCCAAGAGCAGAAGAAACGGCTCCCGTGGAGGTTGCCCAGAGCGATGACGGCGATTTTGGTGCGGAAACGGGGTTTTCCAGCTCGCCTCCCCCCAAACGACTCTCCTGAAATGATTTAGCGCCCTGTCTGCGCAGAGCCGACGTACGTCGCCCTCAAGATGTAACCGGCCTCCTCCCTCCGCAGTGCCTTCGGCCACCGGCCCAAGAGCAGAAGAAACGGCTCCCGTGGAGGTTGCCCAGAGCGATGACGGCGATTTTGGTGCGGAAACGGGGTTTTCCAGCTCGCCTCCCCCCAAACTGCGTCCGGCCGCCGCCGCGCTGGAAAAAGCCTCCAACGGCGCCGCTCC